AAGAGCGCCAGTGTGAACCTGCCCGTGGGGTGGTCCCACCCGTCTGCAGGTGGGCGTGTCTCCCCCCATTCCTGGGGACGCCTCCCTCAGCTGCGGACGTCCGGGCTGGCGTACTTCCTTCGCTTCGACCAGCTCAGGGGAGAGCCTTCACTTCGCTTGTAGGATTATGTCCTTCCTCTTAGGCTTTGGCAGGTGTGCTGGCTGGACCTACCCACCATCCTCTTCACGTTCACACTGCTCAGGGCGCCGGCGTCCTGGATCTGCGGCTTACTGTCTTTTGTCAGGTTCTCCCAAGGTTGCTCGTCCCCTGTGGGGGGCTCTCAGCAGCTGAGCGCGGGGTGACGCCTCAGGTGCTCCCCCACCCTCCTGTCTCCCTGTGCTTCTTGCAGAACACTCCCTTCTGTACATTTCAGGTCATCAGTTATCTTTTTGGTTACATATAATATGCAATTAAGCTCATCCATTAAATTCTTAATTTAGCTTATTATATAGCTTCTGGTCTTACAACTTGTACTTCTTAAAAATATTTTTTTGCCAACATTCTTAATCCTGTCTCTCACTTTCCATTAATGTATGTGAATATATTAATCACAGTCCTTTAAAAGTCCATGTCTGAAAACTCCAGGAGTCCCCGTCTGCTCCTCCAGACTCTAGTTTCTTGGCCTTCTTGTCTCGTCTCTTGACTCTGTTGCTTTCGGCTGAAGATGTGTGTGTGAGGAGCGGAGGGAACCATGTCATCTCCCCTGTGCCCGCCGCCTCCTCGGGGGCCGCCTCCCAGCCCCCCAGCTGTCACCACCCTTCTGGCACAGCCCACAGAGCTGAGTTCAGGCCTTTCCCCACAGGTGGATGATGAGCTGGAAATCAAGGCCTACTATGCAGGCCATGTGCTGGGGGCAGCCATGTTCCAGATTAAAGTGGGCTCAGAGTCTGTGGTCTACACGGTCAGTGGATGCCCTTGGGGCACAGGAGGGACTGCCTGGCCAGGAAACCGGGCACTCTCCTTACCATCACATTGTTTGCCAGGGTGATTATAACATGACCCCGGACCGGCATTTGGGGTAAGTAGGCCAATGTATTTTATTCTGTGGGGTATCCTCACCAGAGCGCAGTGACCCCTGGGTGTGCCAGCTGCCTGCATGGTCCTTGAATCAGTGTCCCCTGTGTGTCTTCCCCTGTGGAGCAGAGTCTCTCCTCTTGTTGGCCAGGGGTCTGCCTATGACACATGACTTCCTTGGCCTGTGCCGAGGAGGCAGGCTATCAGCCAGAGGGTCCCAGAAGGTGGTGGCTGGTGTTGCTCATTGCAGCCGTATGGACTGTCTATCTTGGCTATGTCCACCTCTGTCCTAGGGCCGCCTGGATCGACAGATGCCGCCCCAGCTTGCTCATCACAGAGTCCACATACGCCACAACCATCCGTGACTCCAAGCGTTGCCGGGAACGAGACTTCCTGAAGAAGGTCCATGAGACTGTGGAGCGTGGCGGGAAAGTAGGTGGCCACTTGGGAGCCCCAGGGAGACTCTGGGCCATGTGCCCACGTAGCCACAGGGGAGGCCCTATGGCTGCCCCTGGCCCACAGGCAGCAGGCGGGACGCTCTGCCTTCTGAGTGTGGAGGGAAGGTTTGGGAAGAAGGCCCTTCTGGGGGTGGCTCATTCGCCCCTGTGTCTCATCCCAGTGAAGGGGACGGGTTGTCCTTCCAGGTCAGAAAATACACCACAGTCACTTCCAGACAGACTGTGTCTTGGAGCAGGACTACAGGGCAGAATGCTGGTGCAGCCTGTGGTTTGCACAGGGCCCCGGCTCTCCCCTGGCCGTGACTTCTGCATGCATGCAGCCTCCAGCCATCAGAGCTGCTGGCAGGGCTGGTCTTCCCAGCACTGCTTGAGAAGGCGGCCACAGGGAGCCGGCACGTGAACGTCCACCCACTTGCTGTACTCAGACGTGGGCCCGAGACGGGTGGGCAGCAAGGGAGGGGCTCCTGCTGAGCCAGACTCGCTGTCCCTCCGCAGGTGCTCATCCCTGTGTTTGCGCTGGGACGTGCCCAGGAGCTCTGCATCCTGCTGGAGACCTTCTGGTGGGTGCAGCTGGGACGGATTCTGGGAGCCTCGGTTTATGGGTGGTAGAGAGCAGAGTGCCTGTGCCAGATGAGCCAGGCCATTCCCGTGCAGCCCACACCCAGCCCAGGAGGGTCCTCGGCCCAGCTCCAGACAGAGCTCTGAGTGAAGAGTTGAGACAGTCATGGCAGCTGTTGGGTGTAGCACAACTGAGGTTCGGGTGCCAGTGCCTGTGGGGACCCCACAAAGCCCATGACCACACACAGCACAAAGCCCCACACTTGCTGTGTCCCCTCTGTTAGCCCCAACATTTTGTGGGGGGCTGGGCCAAGGGCCCTGGCCTGCCACGGCCATAGGGGTGGAAGATGATGGGCTGTTCCACTGGACTCAGCACAGGGCATGGGGGTGACCAGGGCCAGCCCAGGCAGCCTCCACCACAGGCCCTGTGCCACCCTCAGGGAGCGCATGAACCTGAGGGCCCCCATCTACTTCTCCACGGGCCTGACAGAGAAGGCGAACCACTACTACAAGCTCTTTATTACCTGGACCAACCAGAAGATCCGCAAGACCTTTGTCCAGAGGAACATGTTTGAGTTCAAGCACATCAAGGCCTTCGACCGAGCCTTTGCTGACAACCCGGGTCCGATGGTGAGGCCCTGGCCAGTGGGGTCAGGTGGGGACAGCCACCCTGTGCCTGCTGCAGCTCTCGGCTGGGCCACCCAGGGCGAGCGCCGGGTGTCCACGTGGGTGCTGCTGCGCTGTGGCCTGCAGGTCTCCCTTGGGTAGGGCACACCCATGCTGGGGAGGGACAGGAGCTGGGAAGGGGGTGCCCTGGGACAGGCGCAGGGTCAAGAGGCACTGAGAGCAGCGGAGGGGCTAGACCTGCGGCCAGTATACATCGTCTTAGCTCCCGACTCCCTATGCCCACCCCTCAGGTCGTGTTTGCCACTCCAGGGATGCTCCATGCTGGCCAGTCCCTGCAGATCTTCCGCAAGTGGGCAGGGAATGAGAAGAACATGGTGAGAGCCTGGCCCTGGGTCCAGCTCCCAGGAGGGCCTCCAGCACTGAAGAGGCTAGGGGAAGGGGCTTCTCCTGGCTTGGGGACACCAGCCCCTTCCTGAGAGGGCCTGGTACCCTGGGGCCTGGCCCAGGTAGCTGTGACTCTCCGTTGGGTCATCCTGTCCACAAGGCAGGAAGGCCTCCAGCCTCCTGAGCAGCTGACACAGTCCTGGGCTGGCTTGTGCTGAGATTGCTGGGCCTGTCTGGGTCTGCAACAGGGACTGGAAAGCCTGGAAGGAGGAGCCACTGGCAAAGGGAAAGGGCCTCCATGGGGGTTCAAGTCAGACACGCAGAAAGGGCGGGTTAGGGAGATGTCCCAGGAGGAAGCCCGGGGATGGAGGTGGATGGCCACTTGGGGTTCAAGGGTATCCATGAGTTCCATCGCTCCCTCCCCCAAAGGTCATTATGCCTGGCTACTGTGTGCAGGGCACTGTGGGCCACAAAATCCTCAGCGGGCAGCGCAAGCTAGAGATGGAGGGGCGGCAGGTGGTGAGTCCCCACCTACTCCCTGACAGCTCCTTGGGTCCCTCTTGGGCGGGTTGTGGGCCCTCAGAGCATGCCACCTTGCTGACTGCCCGTGTGCTCTGTGGTGCTGCAGCTGGAGGTCAAGATGCAGGTGGAGTACATGTCCTTCAGTGCCCACGCCGATGCCAAGGGCATCATGCAGCTGGTGGGCCAGGCAGAGCCTGAGCACGTGCTTTTGGTACACGGGGAGGCCAAGAAGATGGAGTTCCTAAAGCAGAAGATCGAGCAGGAGTTCCGTAGGCAGCCTGGGTGGGTGGGCCTGATGGGTGCAGGCAGGGACCGCCCACAGGGTCCATGCCTGCAGGCCTGGTTTGAGACTCTGTCCCCCTGGCCAGGGGTCAGCTGCTACATGCCAGCCAATGGTGAGACGGTGACACTGCCCACGAGCCCCAGCATCCCCGTGGGCATCTCGCTGGGGCTGCTGAAACGGGAGATGGCACAGGGTATGTTGGCAGGGCAAGCAGGGCAGGGCGGATGGCTGCTCAGCAGTGGACTGCCCTGTTGGCAGCTCCAGTCTCTGCTCCCTTCTCTGCAGGACTGCATCCTGATGCAAAAAAGCCCAGACTCCTGCATGGCACCCTGATCATGAAGGACAGTGTGAGTGTGCACGTGTGGCCACTGTGGGGGTACCCAATCCCACACTCCCTGACCTGCCCCCTCCCCACAGAACTTCCGGCTAGTGTCCTCAGAACAAGCCCTCAAAGAGCTGGGCTTGGCCGAACACCAGCTGCGCTTCACCTGCCGTGTGCACCTGCATGACACGCGAAAGGAGCAGGAGATCGTCTCACGTGTCTATAGCCACCTGAAGAGGTGGGCACCTACCCTTCCCTTCCAGCCTTAGTGGGGAGGGTACATGGCAGGGTCTCACTCTGCCTCCCTGCAGCACCCTCAAGGACCACTGCATTCAGCACCTCCCTGATGGCTCTGTGACCGTGGAGTCCATCCTCATTCAGGCCGCAGCCCACTCAGAGGACCCTGGCACCAAGGTGCTGCTGGTCTCCTGGACCTACCAGGTAGGCGGCAGGTCCCAGGGATCCTGTGCCTGGCAGAAGGCCAGAACTGGTGGGGTGGGTCAGGGAGGTGGACTGACAGTGCCCCCCACCCCCACCCCCGGCCACAGGATGAAGAGCTAGGAAGCCACCTCACATCGCTGCTCAAGAAGGGCCTGCCTCAGACCCCCAGCTGAGGCCAGCTGGCCCCCAGCCCAAGGGGACTGGCCTTTAGGCCAGGACTGTTTGTGCTCTGGCTCTTCCATCTGTATCCCCAGCTGTGGAGCCCACAGCCGGGTCTTTGGGGACAAGACCACAGTGACACATGCCTGCCCAAGTGGCCCTCTGCAGCTGGAGAAGCAAGCAGGCCTGGGAGCCTTTTCACCTTTTATTTCTACCCTGAGCCCACAGAAGATGTGTGGGCGCTCTGGGGGCATCACTTCTAGTAAAACCAAAGGCTGAGTGCCCCTGTCCTGGTGTTCATACTGTCTCCTGCAGTCCGTCCCCAGCGTGGCCCACCTGGGGCATATGGGGATGCCCAGGGAAGTGGAGACTTTGGGCAGGTTCAGGGCGATGGGAGGCAGGAGGACTGCTCTGGCCTGATGGCTGAGAGCTGGATGGCACAGGGCTGGTTCCTGCCAGGCGCATGGGCCTGTAGAGCTGGGCAGATTCCAGCAGCTGGGCCTACTGTGTCACAGCTGCCCTGACCTCAGCTGGGTGTCTGGGGGTCATCTGAGGTATGGAGGCCATGGGGAGGCAGGACCTACGGACAGATGGAGGGCGGGGGGCTCTCTGCAGGCACTTGGGCCGGCCCCAGGTCTAGTCTCCAGCTGAGCTGCAGAGCCCCTGCTTTGTCCCAGGGGTCAAGCGCCTCACCACCCTCTCCAGCCGCCTCAGTTGGGAACTTGCTTACAGGGCTAGGTCAGAAGTGGGGCTTGGGTAGGAGGCCCCTCACCTCACTGCAGGCCACCTGCCCATGGCCTGCTGGTCTCCAGCCTGAGGTCTGCAGCTCAGGGTGGGATCTCCCTGTTTTCTGGGTCCTGGCTTTCCCACTGGGCATAAGCTGGATTCCCATCTGCTGGGATGACAGAGAAGGGCTCATTGGCACTGCCACCAGAGCCCCTTGCCCAGTGAGGACCCATCCGTGAGAGGGTGGTCTGTTACTGGGGTCTGTGCAGGGGCCTTCCCAGGCCACTTGGTCTTACCAAGCTCCCTGTAGAACACTGACTTGAGGAACAGACCCTGGGCTGGGGCCACACGTCTCTGGTGTTGTCCCAGGGGGTCCCGGCTCTCCAGAATTGCCTTCACTTGAGTGGGTGTCAGAGCCCCCAGCCCCACGGCCACTAGCACAGCTGTCATCCTCCGGACCTGCAAGCCACAACTGCAGTTACCATGGTGGCCTCAGCCTCCCACACCAGCCCATCCCCTGCCACTGCCCCCAGGATGGGGCCCACCTGTCTGTACAGGAAGGACTGGCTTTCAAACTCCAGGCTCCAGAACCGCAACTTCCTGAGAACACATGCCTGTTACGTACAGGCCACGTGGCAGCCCCAACCCACAGCACGGGCCCAGACAAGGGAGATAGACGGGGATATGGGGGAAGACTGGTCGGTACCCTCTCTTCCACCTCCAGGACCCCAACTGACCATCCCACCCTCAGTGAAGCCAGTGGGGGGGGACAGCAGAGCCTTCTGGGAACCACAGGGACAGGTCCCTCAGGAGGAGGGGCTGCAGGGACTGAGGTCCTGGTCTGGGGTGTGGGCTCCAGACCAGCTCATCTGTGACACACCCCAGCCCTGGGCTAGGAACTCAGGTGCTGAGTCAGAGGCTGTCTGTACAGAAGTCCCGCCTTCCTTCAGTGCTGGCCCAAGAGGAAGGTTTTGGAAGTCAGGCTGGGCCAGAGGCACTGGCTTGCTGCTGCTCCCACAGTAGAACCTTTTCAGCAGCTGCCAAGATCCATCCGCAAAAAATAGGCCCTGGGCAAGGCAGGGCCGGGGGCTCTCGAGAAAGGCAATGTCCGTCCTTTGCCTGAGCCTTGTCCCTATACAAAGCCTGAGGCCAACACGCAGGCCGCCGTTCTCACCTACTCTCCTGGGCGAGGACAAAGGGGCCGGCCAGGTCAGGGTGCATGGAGGCTCGGCGCAGGGTGCGCACCGAGCTAGTGGCCGGGCTGCCAGCCGACTGGAAGGCACTGAAGTCATGTGTCCCCAGGAGGTGCTGGGCAGCCTCCTGCATGGCAGCCAAATCCAAGCAGCTGCAGGGAGCCAGATGAGTGGTCAGGAGAAAGGGGCCAACCAGGTAGGCCTGGCAACCTCCTCCTGCTCAACCACACCCACACTCACTCTGCCCGCAGGGCCCAGCATCGATTTCGTTCAAACACGGGCAGTTGGTCATACCGGGGGCAGCCGGTGGCCAGGCGGTACACATAGGTCCTGGATGTGGCAGCATGGCGGGCATGGAAGTCGTCGGGCACACGGAAGGCCTGAACTACCCTGTGGGAGCGAGGTCAGGCACAGCAGAGCCGCGTGACTTACCCACCCAAGTGACATCTTGACATCTCCCCCAACGCCCCAGTTCTGTGCAGACACAAAGTCCTTTCTGACCTCTGGCCTCCACCCGCAGTGGGCCAGTCCAGGGAGACCAAAGTGGCGCTCACCGGATGGCCGGGTGCTTCAGGTGAGCGTTGAGGGCTTCGGCCAGGGCCTCGGGAGAGAAGGGCGGCAAGCCCGAGCGGCGCTGCACGTCCAAGTGAGCCGCGTTGCCCAGCGCGTGGACCCCGGCGTCCGTGCGGCTGGAAATGGTAAACTTGACCGGCACGACCGAGTTGAGCCGCTCTGCAGCCTCCTACGGGGACAAGACGCCGGGGGCGGGGCGGGCAGAGCGGGCGAAGACCCGGCCCGAGGGACGGCTTCCCTTGCCCCGTCCCTGCTTCCCCCTTCATGCGGCGGCGGCTCTTACCTCCAGGTAGTTCTGGACCCCGACGGCTCGCTGGGCGCCCCTGACAGCCGCGACCCCGCTGCGGGCAGAGGAGGACGCACGTTAACGGGCGGAGGTCGCCCTCCCCGGCGCGCCGGGTTGCACGGGAGTCGCGGGCATGGGTGTGGGAGGTCCGGAGGACGTACTTGAAGTCCGTGCCCACGTACTGGAAGTACACGAGGTACCGCGCCCGCACCCAGCCTGCCACCGGGCCCGAGCCCATGACCACGCCAGCGAGCAGAGCCTGGGAGGGCGGAGCGTCACTGGAGGTGCACGTGGGTCCAGCACGCGCGCGTGCGCGCGCGCACGCGTACGCAGCCTGGCCACGCCCTTCCGCTCCCGCGCCTGCGCTTTCTCGTTCGCCCCGCCCCGGCATCCCAGCTTCCCAGCCCCCTGGCTGCCAAGGGCAGGGGAGCGGAGGCGGGGCAAGATTTAGGGAGCAGGTGCGAAGTGCCAGCCCGCTGTGGAGCGCGTGGGCCCCGTTCGCCCGCCCCCTCTCTCTGGTCCTTCCGGAGCCTGGCCGTTCGCCGCGACCCACGCACGTGGTTTGCAAACTTCTGGTGTTGTCCCAGGGGGTCCCGGCTCTCCAGAATTGCCTTCACTTGAGTGGGTGTCAGAGCCCCCAGCCCCACGGCCACTAGCACAGCTGTCATCCTCCGGACCTGCAAGCCACAACTGCAGTTACCATGGTTGCCTCAGCCTCTCACACCAGCCCATCCCCTGCCACTGCCCCCAGGATGGGGCCCACCTGTCTGTACAGGAAGGACTGGCTTTCAAACTCCAGGCTCCAGAACCGCAACTTCCTGAGAACACATGCCTGTTACGTACAGGCCACGTGGCAGCCCCAACCCACAGCACGGGCCCAGACAAGGGAGATAGACGGGGATATGGGGGAAGACTGGTCGGTACCCTCTCTTCCACCTCCAGGACCCCAACTGACCATCCCACCCTCAGTGAAGCCAGTGGGGGGGGGACAGCAGAGCCTTCTGGGAACCACAGGGACAGGTCCCTCAGGAGGAGGGGCTGCAGGGACTGAGGTCCTGGTCTGGGGTGTGGGCTCCAGACCAGCTCATCTGTGACACACCCCAGCCCTGGGCTAGGAACTCAGGTGCTGAGTCAGAGGCTGTCTGTACAGAAGTCCCGCCTTCCTTCAGTGCTGGCCCAAGAGGAAGGTTTTGGAAGTCAGGCTGGGCCAGAGGCACTGGCTTGCTGCTGCTCCCACAGTAGAACCTTTTCAGCAGCTGCCAAGATCCATCCGCAAAAAATAGGCCCTAGGCAGGGCCGGGGGCTCTCGAGAAAGGCAATGTCCGTCCTTTGCCTGAGCCTTGTCCCTATACAAAGCCTGAGGCCAACACGCAGGCCGCCGTTCTCACCTACTCTCCTGGGCGAGGACAAAGGGGCCGGCCAGGTCAGGGTGCATGGAGGCTCGGCGCAGGGTGCGCACCGAGCTAGTGGCCGGGCTGCCAGCCGACTGGAAGGCACTGAAGTCATGTGTCCCCAGGAGGTGCTGGGCAGCCTCCTGCATGGCAGCCAAATCCAAGCAGCTGCAGGGAGCCAGATGAGTGGTCAGGAGAAAGGGGCCAACCAGGTAGGCCTGGCAACCTCCTCCTGCTCAACCACACCCACACTCACTCTGCCCGCAGGGCCCAGCATCGATTTCGTTCAAACACGGGCAGTTGGTCATACCGGGGGCAGCCGGTGGCCAGGCGGTACACATAGGTCCTGGATGTGGCAGCATGGCGGGCATGGAAGTCGCCGGGCACACGGAAGGCCTGAACTACCCTGTGGGAGCGAGGTCAGGCACAGCAGAGCCGCGTGACTTACCC